CGCTGGCAAGGAAATTGTCATACCTACTTGGCTAATGGCTCCCAGCACATTTATGTGCAGGTTTTTGTGTGAATGTAAGTTTTCATATCACTTTGAGTAAGTATCTAGAAATAAAAGGGCTGAGCTATGTTGTAAGAATATGTAATTTTGTCAGAAACTGCTAAATTGTCTGCAAAAATGGCTTTATCATTTTGCATTCCCACCAGTAATAAATGATTTTCTTCTTTTCACATCCCCTTTAGCATTTGGTGGTGTCAGTGTGCCATATTTTAGCTATTTTAATGGGTATGTAGTGATATCTGATTGTTGTTTTATTTTGCATCTCTTTAAAGATAAATAATGTTGAGCATCTTTATATCCTTGTCATCTACCTATCTCTTCATTTATGAAGTGTTTATTCAGATTTTTTGTATTTTTAAATTGGGTTGTTTGCTTATTATTGAATTTTAAGTGATCTTTGTACATTTTGGATACAAGTCCTCATCGAATACATAAACTGCAAATTCTCCTAATATATAGCTTACATTTTCACTCTCTTAACAGTGCCTTTTGTAGAAATGAAGTTTTTACTTCTAATAAAGTCTAACTTTCATGGATTATGCTTTTTTGTTGTATCTAAAAATTCACCAACAAACCAAAGGTGACATAAATTTTCTCCTGTGTTTTCTTTTAGAAGTTTTATTGTTGTGCATTTAGATCTTAGATCTCTTTTTAGTTAATATTTGTGTGGGTATAAGGCCTGTGTCTGTGTTCATTTTTCCGTATATGAACATTGAGTTGTCACCATTTTCAACACCATTTGTTGATAAGACTATCCTTTTTCCATTTAGTGACTTTGTGCCTTTGTCAAAAATCATTTGATCATATATGTATGACATTATTTCTGGATTTTCTATTTGTTCCACTGATCTATCTGTCTATGCTTTCCTCAATAGCATGCTATTATGATTACTATAATTTACAGGAAATCTTGATATTAGGTAATGTTAGTCATTCAATTTATTTCTGTTTCTGTTTGTTTCAGTTCTATCAGTTTTTGTTTTATATATTTTTACATTTTCTTGTTAGATGTATTGACATTTAGGATTGCTATCCTAAATAGATAATTAGCTCCTTTATCATTATGAAAGGCCTTTCTTTAACCCTAATAATCTTCCTCCTTCTGAAGTTTTTGTCAATTCTTTTCATGTAGGTTTTCCACATAGATAACCCATGTGTGTATATATTTCTGCACCTTTTTCTGCTCTTTCTTTCTAATCTGTGTACTTTTAATTTCCTTATTGCACAAGTTCAGACTTCCAGTATGCTGCCAAATATGAGTGGTAATATATGACCACTACTGTTTTGCTCCTGATTAAGATGAAAGCATTACATAGTTCTTGATATATCATATTTCACACTTTGATTCAAGTGGGTTATGAGCTCCCATTTTTACCCCATATACAGATTGCAGAATCACATCAGATCAAGAACTATGTAATGTTTTGAACAACCAACAATAAAAAATTAAAAAAAATATATATATATATATAAAAGATTTAAAAATAAAAAAAAATAAAATTCAAACATATATTTTTAATAAAAATATCACAGTATAATGCCATTTGTATAAAATTCTATTATTCATATGTCATGTATGGATTAACGTTTTACAAATATTAACTCTGAGAAACAATATATGGTGAACTTTTGGATGAAAAAAAAAAAAGATGAAAGCATCCATTTCTCTTACCATTAACTATGATTCTAGTTATAGGTTTTTCACAGATATTCTTTAACAAGTTGAGAAAGTCCACTCTATTCTTAGTTCGGGGGGGGGGGGGGGTGGTCACAAATGGGTGTTGAATTTTGTCAAAATATTCTTTCTGTTTTTCTTTTCTTTTTTTTCTGGGCATGTTTGTAGATAGACTTCTTATATTTATTTCTGTTCTGTTATAGATAGATATATGCATATATACTTTTTTAAAAAATACAATCTATATTCCCTTCCCCACCAAACTCCAAAAGGAGATATAAATCTTTCCAGGATTGCCATTGGGCTTCCCAAGATGGTCAGAGCCAAGAAAGAACCATTTCTCAACATCTCAACAGCTGTCCTTCTTAGGCTCTAGAATCATTGAAGCAGCAGCATTCCCAGGATCCAAGGGGAAGATGGGGGAAAGCAAACTGTAGTGTGCTGGGACTCTAGAATGAAAGTGTCCAGTCACTCTCAGAATGGCAGACTGGCTCCCAGAATTCTCACAGTAAGAATTCTGGTAGGGCCCTCACTCTTCAGATGCTAGCCAATAGGCACGGGTAGGGAGTAGGAATCAGGTATTTGACATGCAGGGAAAGGGTGGTAGAAGGAACACCCGAGGCTTATGCTGGAGACTGAGCAACCTTCAGGACTACCCACCTACTCAATGACAGAAGTAATAAACAGGGACAGATGCTGAATTATTAAAGAAATAGAGAGGAGAGCATGACAGGGAGAAGGAACAACAAAACACATGGGAAAATCATGTAGAGCAAAAAGTACCAATAAAAATATGACCTGTACTGGCCTCTTCCCTAGAAAAGATGTAATCTATGCTTTGGGGTGCAGGAGGTGAAAGGTCATGAACTAGGATTATCAGCTGGCCAGGGGCACAGGAAGGCTCTCTGAGGATTCCTAAGGGGCAGGTAGAAAGGCAGCTGGGGCCCCATATCCCCAGGAAAGAAATAATGAATCCCTTCAGTTCGACTTGGACCAAATCTTGGCACTCCCTCCGAGCCCCTTCCCTTTTGAGGCCTTCTTGCTGGGCTGGCGCTGGTTGGTGCCTGGAGCTGGGTTCCTCAGTTCAGTCAGGTGTTGCTCGGGGTCCTGAGATGTGGCTGCAGCAGCTGCTGCTGTTGTAACTTTAATGGTTTTTTTAAGGTTGGCAACCTCACTTTCAATCTACTGCTTTAGGCCCAGCTGCTGCTCCTTGTGCTGGTTGGCACGGCTCGCTTGCTCTTCGATACCTGACAGCACAACCTCACAGCCCACACACCACTCCTGCAGGGTTTGGGCAATGGCACTAAGGTCTTGGCGCTGGATGTCCGGTCCAATGCTGTAGTCAACCTCTAGACGCTGATTGCGTTGATCCAGTGAGCCTCGAAGCACATCAGCATATACAGCCTCAATCACCAGGTCTTCTAGCTGCCTCATATTAAGCAGAGCAAGGGCTTCTAGCAACACTGCATATGGGATGCACTTGACTTTAGCAGCCAGGGTGACAACTGAGAGGTGTCGAAGTTTATTCTTCTGAGCTTCAGTGAGTGGAGGAAGATTCCTGGCTTCAGCTAAGTAGTCGGTATATGTTCCATAAGCAAACACTGTGAGCAGCCGGAATGTGGAAGCAAAGTCACTTTCAGCCAGCTCTCTAACATTGGGCATATCCAGCAGTTCCCCAAACACGTAGACACCAGGGGCCTCCAGCACCTGGTGGATGAGTGTGGCCAGCGCTGCCCCTTTGGCTGACTTGGCCAGGAGCAAAAATTGCTCCTGGTTCTGCCCTGTCACTTTCACCTCCACACTCATGGCTGTACTGAGCTGTGGGAACCTGGGCTCAGGTTGTCTGGAGCTGGAAGGTTCGTCTTCCAGCGCACCCGGTGGGGCTGCTGCTCCGTCACCTCCGGCAGCTGTTCTAAGCTTTTCCTGCCAACCGCCCCCTCAGGGTCGCTCTAGCCACTCATTTCTATCTCTTTCTGTTTTTCACCAATTGATATGATGGTTTTTTTTTCTTTAGCCTGTCACTATGGTGTATTAAACTGGCTAGTTTTCAATATTGAAACACTCTTGCATACTTGAAATAAGTTCCGTTTAGTTTTGGTATATAATTTCCAAGCATTTTGGGGTTGATGTGCTAGTATTTTGTTGAAGATTCTTGCATCTATGTTTATGAGATATATTTGCTTATAGTTTTCCTTTTGTTCAATGTCTATATCTAGTTTTGATATTAATATAATACTTGTCTCATAGATTTTATTAAAAAGTGTTCCTTTCCATTCTATTTTCTAGAAAGAAATTGTAGAGAATTAGTATTATTTTTTTCCTTATATGTCTGGTAGAATTTACTAGTGAACCATCTTGGACCTTGTGCTTTCCTTTTCAAAAAAATTAAATAATTAAAAATTAATCTCCTGAAGGTAGATGGAACTGTGACCACCCACAGAACAGGCCCAGCGGCCTGCTGAGGGGCAGAGCCGCCCCCCACCCCCCGCGCCTGCCAGGTAGGCGGAACTGTGACCACCAACGGAAAAGGCCCAGTGGCCCGCGGAGGGGCACAGCTGCCAACCACACCGGCAAGGTAGGCGGGCCTGCGACCCACCGGCAGAACAGGCTCAGCGGCCTGCTGAGAGGCAGAGCCGCCCCCCCCCCCCAGCGCCTGCAAGGTAGGCAGAACTGTGACCACCAACAGAACAGGCCAGACCTGCAACCGACAAACAGAACAGGCCCAGTGGCCTGCGGAAGGGTAGAGCCGCCGCCCCCCCCGCGCCTGCAAGGTAGGCAGACCTGCGAACCACCGGCAGAACAGGCCCAGCGGCCTGCCGGCGTGGTAGGCACATTGCCCCAATTGGAGGAGGGGCAGAGCCGCCGCCCGCACCTGCGAGGGAGACTTTGCAACTATACAAGACCAATATAAATATATAGGGGGAAAATTCAATAGCACAAAATTTCACCAAGCAGAAAGAAACGCAAACAGTATGAAGAGACAAGGAAAGAAAGGACCACAAGCAATGCAGGTCAACTCAACGTTAGAAGAGGTAATAGCTGCAGCAGATGGAATGTCAGATAAAGAATTCAGGATATACATGCTTCAGATGATCTGGAGTCTCAAGGAAGACATCAGACAGCAAAATCAGACAATGAAAGATCACTTCAACAATGAATTACATAAACAAATCCAAGAAGCAAAAGATCAACTATACAGGGA